AAGAGCCGATAGACTGACTGTCAGGTGCTGCATTAAATGAAGATGGCTGGCCCATGGATCATGCAGACATCGTCATTGCCGTTAGAGAGATAGGACATTCTGAGGATTTTGGAAGTAACATGTCAACATCACTGCTAAGAATATGAGAATTGGGAGTAAAGAATGCACACCCAAGCATGAGAAGCACACTGGACGCATACAAAGTCTTGTTAACCAGTATAGGACTGGCACTATTAACCGTGCGACGCTGATGAATATGTTGAGAGGGGAATCTGAGCGCCTATGGATGTGTCAGGAGTGCTGTGAAGATAAATTAACTCATAACTCATTGTTAAAACATGGAGTCGCTTTTGAGTTTGGTGGAATTTGTTCTTCAGTTATGAAGGATTCACTTATTTGCTTCATTTGTTTGATTGTTACTGTTGTGTACACCTGACAAGATACAGTGAGCTTTGCCAGGCAATAAATTATGCAATCTATTGTTAATTTCTTTATTTAAATAAGAGAAACAGTACAGAATCAATACACATTTTGACAGCAAATAAATGCTTATTTAGAATGTCATGTGATGCCTTACCAAAAGAGGGAAAAGGTGTGGGCCTATAGTAGACTCAGAACATGTAAGATAATATGAGACATTCTGTAACAGGATCAAATGTCTGTGATCAAGGCGTTTAGAAGAGTGAGAAGCAGAACCTTGTATCTTTTTCTTCATTGTTTGGCCGACGTAAATATGTTGTGCCTATTTACAGCTAAGCTGCAGTCTTTGCACTTTTTGGCCGACACAGTGAGGGATATTTAACAGTCTAATTTCTGTGTTGGCTTCATCATCTCCCAATCCGCAGGTGTTGTTCCTAGAGAACAGCCCCTTGCGAACTGGTCTGTACCAACGAAAGGCAGGGGTGGAATATGGAAATTCTCACCATCCAAGTCACTGAGGCGATGGATGATGCCATGGTACTGGGCTCACCCAAGATATCGTCACCTCCTGCACATGACTGCATAACCTCACATTTGTATATTAAGGCTTCAAATCTCAGTGGTCAGCAGCCATTAGTGATCCACTGGTAGCAGACCACAGGCTTCAGTTACCTTCACAAAATTAGCATCTTCCTGTGTTGTCATGTTACATTTCTCTCTTTGCTAATGTTACCTTTCACATGAATGCCCACCAGGGTACTTTGTGTAGCATTTATAAAAAGCATGAATCAGACATAGCTTTCTTGTATTTCACTCAAACGGATGTGGCCAGGTAGCAGATGTTTGAACATTTTGTGTCGTAAAATAGGATCTTTAAGCGAAAGACATCTGAAACTTTGCTGTCAGTGGACGGACGTTTGAACCAAAGTTTGTCATTTAATAGGATACTTGACTTCATTCATATTCCAAGAGTTTTTGATGGATGTTGTCATCCATGCATTCGGGTTTGGCTGATGAGTGCCGCAGCATTTCTTGGCCACTACATCTCTGTTAGCCATAAAAACACAAATTAATTGGGAAATTGCACAAAAATTCTTTTGTGAGATATAGTATATGACAAATACAAAAAACATCCGGCTGCAGTTAAATGTGTGACCAACTATAGCAGGCTAAAGTTCATTTAAATAATTCTTTAGCAGGTCCTTAGCAAAACGTTTCTGCCTTCATGGTCTGCCTGCCTGAAAGAAACTTGGGTCTCTCAGCGTCCCTACCTTCCTCACTTTGGTCTTCAAGGAGTCCTGTGTCTATCTTCATGTTGGCTGGTCCCTGCCCCTCCTTCCTGATACCATACCTTCTAAATTTTTCCATACCGCCATGGCACTTGATATGACCAAAATATTCCAGCCACTGCTGCCCATCAAGTAATGGGTCGCAAAATGTTCCTTCCCACAACGCTGAACGGCAGAAGTGGAAACTGATGATGATAAATTACAGTGAAAAGTGTAAGGAGTCATTTTCTCCTTGAGCAAAAGAGAAACATTGCCAGAAGAATAAGGTGCAACATTAAACCAGCAATTAGGAGTTGCATTGGCGTAATGGCTAGAGAGTCGCTGCAGATCGGAAGGCCGTAGGTTTGCTTCCTGGAGGAGCCGGACTTTTCTTCAAAATTGACCTTGGCTCTTAGGTAGACCCAGCCTTGAATGGGTACCAGGAAGTAGAGGCGGCCAGCATGATGCTGACCAAATCACCCATCTTGTGTCGTTGGTCTATAAAATGTAGGAAGATGTGTGTCTAACCCTATATGCCTAAAGGCGTAAAAAAGAATCCTTTACTTTAAACCAGCAATTGGAGGAGAGCAGTTTGGTTTTGTTGAAGATAAAAGCTCAAAACAACGCTATGTTTATCTTGAGAAAACCTACAAAATAATGATTAAAATTAAGAGATCTGTATTTGTGGTTTGTTGACTCAACTATAGCATATGATAAAGTGAAACATGAAGTTGTCAGAATTTTGGAAACCTTAAATATTATTGGTAAAGATTTTAGACTAGAACGAAAAACGCACTGGCAACAAGAAGCAGTCATAAGAATTGACAACAAAGTGGGAATTTTCCAAAATGTTAAACAGCAGGGACGTATACTATCACCTGATTTATTCAATTTCTACAGTGAAATAATAATGAGATCCATGCATGGTATGCTATCAATATCAGTTGATAGGCACATTATGAACAACCTGCAATATGCTGACGACTTAGTTGTGACTGCTAAAAATTCCACACTACTGCAAGAAATGATGGACATAATTGTAACAGAAACAGGGTCTTAGTTTCAACTGCACAGTGGAAAAAGTACAGTGATTACAAAGAGAAATGGACCCTTCAGAATGCAGCATTAAAGTATATGGGATAATCCTCAAGCAGGTTGATATATTTGAGTACTTGGGTGCAGTGATAACAGCAGATGGAAGGTGTATTCTTCTTCACCTCTTTTACTGCTTCGGGTGTTGAACGATATATAAGCCTCTGCTTCTTGCCCTCCTGGCTGCCTCAACTATAGACACAATGTGCAGTTGTATAGTTTCTCTGGTGTTATCTTTCTGTATTGTTTGTTGTCTACCTTGTGATCGGCATTCTCCTCTTTTGGTGTATGTCTTTTATGGTATGATGGAAGATGTATAAGTTAAATGTAGAATATCTCAAGCAAAGGCAGCATTTTACAAAATGAAGAATGCTGCATGCAATATATCTTTGTCAGTTGAGGTGAGAAACCGAATTCTCTCTCAGGAGCTAAATAAATCCTACCCTTACATACGGAAGTGAATCATGAACAGTTGGCTGATAAGTAAAAATTTTTGTGGAAGCAGCTGGGATGTGGTTTTATAGATAAATGATGAACACTCTGGACAGATAAAGCGAGTAATGAAGATGTCGAGAATTGAAAGAAACTAATTCATGAAGACAACTGAGTGCCTACATCAGGAGACAATCTACATTCTTTGGTCGGTCATAAGAAGGAGAAAACTGGAGTACATTGTGACGGTGGACAAATTTGATGAAAAACAAACATGTCAGACTGAGCATGAAGATTTGATTCAAGAACTGACATCACAGCACTCGGGGCATTCCCGTAAGCGCTCCATCCCTATCTTCAGCAGCCAGCGAAAAGTTCCGATACTAATAGTGCCAGTAGCTTTCTGATTAAACGTCCGTATTGTCTTTCCTCTGAGCCTCGAGCATCTGCCAGAACCTCTCGTCACCCCCAACTGCATCAATCTCACCAGACTGTGGTGATCCATCTGCTCCTCTGAATTGTGAATGCTCTCCCACAAGGCACTAACCACATCTGCCCTATCATGTAGCATGAAGATGTGTGTCTAAACTGAAAGTACAGGAGACAGAAGGTTGTGGATAGACATGACATAAAAAGGGCTGATGAAGACTTTTGGTGATGAAGACTTTTGGCCTAATGGATCTAAATGTTCAGTTCTGCTTGACATAAACTAAAACACAACAGAGCAGGTGGCATCACAGCTAGTGCAAACAAGACTTATTTCAAACATAACATAAAGAGGAACACCAACAATGTTTTTAAATGTGTATAATGTCTCTTGTATTCCATCAGAACATGACTGCTGTTACAAATGTAGCCATAAAGTTTAAATGTAATAAAATAAAAAGCTCAAATAAACCAGTTCAATCACAGACTGACATGTAGAAAAACTTCCTTGCAGCCCTTCTGTTCACAATCAAGTCTGGCTAGCAGTGCTCGTCATTTAGCTGAATATGTTCACACATTTTCTGGTCACAGCTATTTTTTGGTTATAAGCTAACAGGCATCAGTTTGTCCAAGCATTTCCCTAGTTAGTTAATGGCATGCTTTGACGGTTACACTTCCTTTGTTTGTCCTTTAACATTCTGTAAAGTCATTTTTAGTAGGCCAATTTGTTTGTGTGTATGGGCTTTTAATTTTTCTTTGATTTTTTTGTTTACTACGCAAACCTTGGGCGTTTGATCAAAGTTTGCAATTGACAAATTGCTGTCAATGCAACCAGTTCTATTTCTTTCCAATTTATTATCTCATAGTGCTTTCTTTCCTCTATTCTTCCCCACTGTTCCAGCATGGATTGCTGAACTATCTCTTGAATTTCCATCATGTTATTCTTTGCACAAATTATCCAAATACATTCCATGTAGATTTATGAAACAATATTTTCAGCACTACTGATCTTGAGAATTCTTTACTACTATTTTTCCAAATAATGTGAATTTTAAATTGCCTTAATACATTTTTCTAATTAATGATATACTGAAAATGTCTTGCACAAGCATCCACTTTGCTGAGAATGTGAAAACCTAAACCTATGTAAACTTTCATTTTAAAAACAAACAAAAACTTACAGTCTACTCACGGGAATCTTTTTTTTAAATCATGGTTATATAAATGATAGTTTATAAAGCAATAAATCACACTAACAGAGCAGTATCCCAGTAACATAAATTTCACCCTTTCATTGTAAATATCTTTGGTCCAAACTTGCTATACAAAATAAGAAAAATATGCAGCTGAACAAAGATATGGCTACAGTTCTTCCTTGCGCTCAATTTTCAGCAGTTCCACTTCAAAGACTAGAGTTGAACCACCTGAAAGAAAACTTTATATATATATACATATATACACACACACACACAATAAAAGTACTTTGGCTAAACAATGGAAATCCTGTCTCAAATCTCTCATCTGATTTTCTGACAAAGTTGGTGCTGCTTATACTATTTGCTACCAAGCTATGTAAGTTCCCTCACACATTTTTCTGTCTACCTTTGCTCTTCTTGTCTGGTCTTTCCCAGCATAAAGTTGATTTCATTTGTCAATATACCTCATACACTTCTCAAATGTTTTTTCCTTATGGTTTTGATGAGTAAGTGGTAGCTCTAAAAGCATCAATATTGTTTAAAAACATAGATTTGTATTTACAGCTACTGCTGTCAATACTTCTGCCGGCATATGGAAACCCATAAGAAGTCTATTCACTACCAAACATAAAGTATTATCACAAATGTTTGACATCAGGACCTGCTCCAACTGCTGAGATATGTTCAACAATTCACCAGGACCTGCTCTAACTGCAAACTTAACTGCTGAGGTATGTTCAACAATTCACCAGGACTTGCTCTAACTGCACACTTAACTGCTGAGGTATGTTCAACAATTCACCAGGATTTGCTCTAACTGCACACTTAACTGCTGAGGTATGTTCAACAATTCACCAGGATTTGCTTTAACTGCACACTTAACTGCTGAGGTATGTTCAACAATTCACCAGGACTTGCTCTAACTGCACACTTAACTGCTGAGGTATGTTCAACAATTCACCAGGACTTGCTCTAACTGCACACTTAACTGCTGAGGTATGTTCAACAATTCACCAGGACTTGCTCTAACTGCACACTTAACTGCTGAGGTATGTTCAACAATTCACCAGGACTTGCTCTAACTGCACACTTAACTGCTGAGGTATGTTCAACAATTCACCAGGACTTGCTCTAACTGCACACTTAACTGCTGAGGTATGTTCAACAATTCACCAGGACTTGCTCTAACTGCACACTTAACTGCTGAGGTATCTTCAACAATTCACCAGGACTTGCTCTAACTGCACACTTAACTGCTAAGATATGTTCAACAATTCACCAGGATTTGCTCTAACTGCACACTTAACTGCTAAGATATGTTCAACAATTCACCTGGACCTGCTCTAACTGCACACTTAACTGCTGAGATATGTTCAACAATTCACCAGGACTTGATCTAACTGCACACTTAACTGCTGAGATATGTTCAACAATTCACCAGGACTTGATCTAACTGTACACTTAACTGCTGAGGTATATTCAGCAATTCACCAGAACTTGATCTAACTGCACACTTAACTGCTGAGATATGTTCAACAATTCACCAGGACTTGATCTAACTGTACACTTAACTGCTGAGGTATATTCAGCAATTAACCAGGACTTGCTCTAACTGCGCAATCAACTGCTGAGATATGTTCAACAATTATGTTTTCAAGATCACAGGTTAGGTACAATAATAATTACTACAAATCTGTTTAACCCTTAAGCATAAGAACATGTCAGCTAATTTCCCTTGCTGTTTGGCTGGCTACACACAAGAGGCACATCGTGCCTGCTACTAATGTGACTAGCTTTATTTAGAATTCCTCATTTCAGCAGTTGTCATCATGGCTGCCAAATTTGGTACTTTTGTACAAACATGGCACTATTTAATTCTCACCAAGCAAAACTATTTTTAGTACCATGCCCGATGTTTAGGTATGTTTTAGTGTTCTCTCTGCTTGACAATATTACGATACAAATTGGTCTTCTTTGAAAACCCTAATAATACAAACTGAAACAAAATGGTACCGAAATGATGTATCGACCCAAAAAAATAATTCAATTCTGACTAAATATAAGGAAAATCAGTGTACGTGTGTGTGTTTTAATATTCTTCTTCAGCATTCAGAGCCCTTGAGGTTCACTGCTGCAGAAATCACTCGCTTCCATCCGTCTCTCTGGTTAGCCTTCTATTTCCAGCTGGTGACACCAAGTGTTTGCAGGTCTGTCTGGACATTATCTCTCTATCGTCTTCTCTGTGGTCTACAACCCATCATCTCCCTTGTGTATACAGCTTTTACTTCTCTTTCATCTGACATTTTTTCAATATGCCCCAACCATTTCAGCAAAAATATTCTGATCTTGGTGTTGCGAGACAGTTTGACTTCAGCAGATGTTGAAGGGCAAAGTATACTTTATTTTTAGATTGTATTATAGAATGTATTTCTTCTCTCAGCATGTTGGAGCAGTTGAAGTTTGCACCCAGGTACTTATTTGTATCCGTTAGTTTGATGTGTGTGTTTTAATGGTTTTCTTTATTTACAAATTAAAAAGTAGGTACATTTTCAAAATTAAAATTGCTACTATTTCCCCCAAAAATTTTTGACAGCCCTGGGTGTAATCAAGAAAAGTCATCAGGGCATCTGCATCCAATTACTTGGTGCTTTTAAACCACATACCAGGTTAGTTGAGTATCCTTTACAGGACGTTGCAGAACCAACCCCAACAGCCCCTGGCTGTTGTGTGGCTTTTCTAGGCAAATTTGCGTCTAGTAGTTTGCCATTGCTTTCTGGACACCACTGTCGAAACTAATGCAAGGCGCATGGCCCGCAGCTGGGATCAAACCCAGCATCTCGGCATTATGAAGCATTCGCATCGACTTAGCCACAGAGCCGACAAACCATATGCCAGCGCTGCTAAATTAATGCAGATTATTATATGAGCTCCGGTCCAATAGTGTAACTTTCTGTATCAGCTGCAGTCCATCAGTGTAAATTACTGCATCAGCTCCATTATAAATTATCATGTATGTCTTCCAGTCTCAGCACTCATTCTATCCTGAGTATGATGGTCACCATATGGTCATAAATACTGGGGTAGTAGCTATCCCAGGTGCAGAACTCACAAATAGAAAGCACGCATTAGGTCAGTTTTATAATCTCATAGAGAACATTTAACTAGCCCTGAATATAAAGATATGTACACAAACCACTCTAGATATTTACCTGGGATCTTTGGAGGTGAGCCTCTGTCTCCATACCCCATGTCTGCAGGGATTACTAGTTTTCTCTTTTCCCCCTGACACATACTGTGGATGTGACAAATGCACTGATAGTTTGAACTGAACATGAAATTACAATCAGTGCATTATATGAGCTTATATGAGAAATGAATTGAATAATACAAAAATCATGTTACTAAGAACTCATAGTTCATGAAACATAATCACTGGACACCCAGTTTATTGTGAAACAATTTGATGTACAAGATTCTGACACACATACTCAAAACGCTATATTTGGCTTTACAAACAGACACAATGGAACATTTCAATCAGTCTTTATCCTTGAATAAAACAACATAAATCATACAAGACAAGCGCAAACAAGAAACTAACAGAGGAAAGAGACAGAATGGTGATGCAACATAAAGGAACAAGGACTGTTGCGAAATAAAACACAAGAGAGGGAAAAAACTTGAATAACAAGGAATGTCCATTTACTCTCTTTCTCATTTGTTGTGCTGAAAGATTCTGTTTGCTTTATTTGTTGATAAAGACAGGTTAAATGTTTGGTTGTATCCATGTACATCATCTCGGCTATCTTTCGAATAACGGGCACATATTATGGCGGCCAAAAACAGGGCCTCAGTCACGTGTCAACTGCGCAATTCCAGCGATCTAATTTGCGGTTTTCCGGCAACTACTGCCACTGCCGAGAGTATCCCCCACGCCGTTCACGTAGCGTGGATTGGGGCTGAACTAGATGGCTGGGACTCACGAGCAAAGCTGCAGGAGATGCGGAAGCTGCTGCTCGTGAGCCCCAGCCATCTAGTTTAGCCCCAACCCACGCAGCTCACTGAGCGGCGTGGGGATACCCTCGGTGGTGGCGGTAGCCGCCATAAAACCGCAAATTAGGTTGCCCGAAGGGCGCAACTGACACGTGACTGAGGCCCTGTTAGAGTGTTTTTGCGGCCGCCGAAATATGTGCCCGTTATTAGGAGGATAGCCATCATCTCTATTCACTTCAGTACCTCCCTAGCCATAGTTTATGTTGTGCTAATTAAAATGTTAGTGCCAGATTGGCTGCAGTCAGCGTTATTTGTAACACTTTGGATTTTCTTTAGCTATGGTGTTAGCTCAAATAAAAATAAAGCAAGGGTAATTAATTTGTGTTCTACCTTTCCTTACATATAAAGGAAAAGAATGGGGTGTTAAGCCATCTCTGATTAGGGAGAACACAGGAGATATTGTGTGCACACTAACTAGTTGGTATTTTAAATTGTAATGTTATTTTAACATGCTGATAAAAGCAGGAGAAACGCTAAAGACATGGAAAGACAGTTAAATGCATCCTAAAACAAAAGCATAAGGAAACTGGTGAACATTAAACAGGATAATTTTCAAGAAAGATGGAGAAATACGCCAAATGTTGGTATCAACGGTCACAAGACTAAAAGGATAGTGATGTACTGGGCATATCCTGAAGTGGACATAACACTCAAACAGGCACTGAAGCGGGAAACAGAAGGATAGAGGAAACAACATCTGGGGGAACCATTAAATGAACATTAATTATAGAGGCCATCAGTGCTGGACTGGTTTCCATGGAGAAACAGACTATGAGCCCTATCTGACAAATACAAAAATACTGAGTGGACCCAAAACCAGACAGGTCAATCTGTTGACCTGTCTTCACAGTTTTCCCACTAGCACAGCTTACACATGAATCAACAATTCACGACTTTGGGAGCAAGTGAACAGTGCAGAGGCACAAACAGAATCATCACAGTGAGAACAGTGAAGTGGGGAGTGACAAGGGAGTTCAGCGGACACTCAACGGAAACTAATCAATGAAGACAGCTACTGCACAAAAGCCTGAATAATCCCGAAGGGAGTAAACAGAAGAAGATCACTGGCACACACAGAAGGCACAACATGGCGGGACACTACAGTCAACGGATACACACGGAGTGGGGAAATGTGGAAACTGATTTGACAGCAGCAGACGCAAAGCAACTTCCATTAATTCTTTACTACACTGAGCTTATGCTGTAAGAAGCGCTCTACCTGGCTGGCAAAATTACAGGGCCAAAAAGTGACAGATTAAAATAATGCTGATATAAATACATCAACTGAACTAGTTTTAGAATTACTTCAGCAATCCTTGATCCCATCCTTTGATCACTTGTCCAGTTCCCAATGTAAAGACAAAAGGCTGATTGCGAGAAAGACTGCTATCGAACTCTGTACCATCCTCAAGCCTTCCCTGGAAGGAAAAAATAGACAGTTTAGGAAATAGAGAATACAAAATAAAAAAGGGTTACAAATAATGGGTCTGGCTTCAGGTGAAAATTAACACATATCTGTTCAATTCACCAGGGAACGTGAACTGATGTGAAAAAACAATCAATGCAAGGTGTGTAGCCGTTTACAGCTAGAAGCTATATAAATAGAAATGATCTCGCTTGCAGCACTGACCTTTTATTGATCACCTTAATTACAGCAAGGCTGAACAGTCCATACATACAAGCACTACACCAGCAGTGAATCAATGCTGCAGGTCATTACATCAGAAACCACTACTGCTAACCTGATTTCACAGGCACACAACAACAATAGGGTTGACAGATGACTACTTATTTTATTGAAGAAACAAAAATTCCCGGTCCCAAAAATGCTTTTATACTGCCTGTTTTTTTTTCAGTTTATGTGACTAATTAATTAATTAATATGTTAATGTAATGTTTAAATTGAAATTCACAATTTGAAATGTCACTGTGCCGCTGTGGTTCTTGTATGCTACTGGTGATAAACAAAAGTAACATATTACCCCCCCCCCCCCCCCCCCACCATATCTGGAGATATTAATGAAGATTTTTAAACAGAAAAATGACATCAATGGTGCAACATTAAATTATGAATGAACACTACCAACTATTAATATAAGATAATCGTGTCCACACTGTGGTACTAGGACTTTAGTACTAGAATTACAATGCTGAAAAATTATTTCTTGTGCATTTGCTCATTAAACTTTTCGGCTCTTTTTCAATACAGGCCGGTAGCTGGAAAGCCGCCGATCGGCTTAGTGGGAGTTCTCTTCCTTGGCTGCATTGCAAACACGGAGCGGAAAAGTCACGAATAAAAGAAGACAGTGAGGTCGACATCAGGGCTGCCAATGCTTGGGTGTGTCCCCCAGATCTGGGTGTTTTTTTACGCTTCGGGGGAAATCTGGCTGTGTTTTTTAGTAAATATATCCTTATATAACAGTGGTATTAGTTGCCACAGATGTGACTCCTGCAGATCTGTATGCCTTAATGACCGATACATTTGCGTGGTTAGGGGTAGGGTTAGGATTGGAGGTGACAATTTTGACGCAGGAGTTCCATATAATCGCGCACCATCACATACACACCCAAACAATCGAAGGACTGTGGATGCTACTCAAACGGACAATTCGCCACTGATTGGGTACCAGCCGGGCGCTATTGCCGTAATATTTGGGAGAATTCCAGTGGGGCCACTCCCACAAGCATCAGATTGTCGGCCATTATTTGGAACTCCTACGTCAACATTTTCACATCTAACCCTACCCCTAACCCAACGCCGCTAACCCTAAACCACCGTATGATGACTATGCAACCGTATGATGACAGGTACGTATGTCATTTGATTCGTGACTTTTCCGCTCCGTGTTTGCAATGCAGCCAAGGGAGAGAACTCCCACTAAGCCGATCGGCGGCTTTCCAGCTACCGGCCTGTATTGAAAGAAGAGCCAACTTTTCCTCAAAGCTGGAGTGCATCTGCCTGAGAAGCAAAGGACCAACAGTCTGCAAACTAATAAGGCGGATCTGTTCTGCTCACATGTGCAAGCAAAACAAGTTCAGAATCAGGATTAAAGTCCAGAAGTAGACAAACAACAAGAACCTTTTTCCAGAGTTAAGCAGTTAAACACTAGGACAAAGAAGTTCATTAAAAGTACTTGACTTCTAGGGGACTGAAATTATTACACAAATATTTAGGCTCTACTTTGAACGACGCCCTAAAATGGCGGCCGTCATATGATGCCGTTCAAAAGAGAGCTAAATTGGCCACATTCTGGCCATAAAATATCCAAAAATATCAGAATGCGGCTCAGTTCTATTAAAAATATATGTACCGGCTCCGTATAACGAAACAAATGCTCTAACAGGGTCTCGGCGATATGTTACTTGCGGACCTGCTTCTGTGCCTCACCGCCGACCGCATCCCCCGCGCGGATGGGGACTAAACTAGATGGCTGGGACTCACGAGCAGCAACTACCGCATCTCCTGCAACTTCCTCCAGTTACTTTACTTGTGAGTCTCAGGCACCTAGTTTAGCCCCCCCCCCTTCCGCGCCACGTGTAGCGGAACGGGGGATACGCTCGGCGATGAGTTTAATCGCGTTTGGCACATGCCGACAAGTCTGACATCTACCGCTGCTAAATCCTCCCATCGGAAGAACACAGTATTGCTAATCGGCTTTCATCATCTGTAATGTCTTGAAATTGGTCAACGGTCGCTAATATCGTCTGCTAGTATCGTCGTCTGCAGAAACGCTCGAAATTGTCCAACGGTCTGTATTTATCGTCTGCTACTACCATGTGCAATGTTGATATTGATTGTCAAGTAATTCAAGTTTTGCTATGATTTGTCCCTTGGCAGAAAGTCCGTATTTTAGATACGCCTTAACACCGGATATTTTATGGCCAGAATGTGGTGGCATCATATTACGGCCGCCATTTTAGGGTGTCGTTCAATGTAGAGTCAATATTTAAGCTGTTTTTCCATTTCTGACGGTTAGAAAGTGAAACAAACTCTGATGTTATATTATATATATATTTTTTTTTTCAAGTTTGTCCTCTCCAGGACAACAGCCTGTAGCATTACCATCCAAAGAGCAACATATCCTGGAAATCTCTTCAACCATATCCTCATCATCAAGTGCCTTGCCAACTGGCAAGAATGCCTCTCCACAATCCGTGATCTTTAGCAACATTTTTCAGTTTGTATGCTGACACCCCTCCATGCCATAAAAAAAGGGCTGCCAAGAATGTTCTCATATTGTCTTCCTCATTTTCCACAGATCATTCTAGTGGTCACAACATGTTCCAGTTTTTATCTATATGATAAAAACATTGTCTCTTCTCTGATGTTTTCCCTGAGCCCTTGCCTTTTTGAAAATATTCGCGTTGGTCGGTTATGGTTTTACTTTTAGTGCTGCACCACAAAACTTGCAAAGTACCTGTAGTCTACTGAGTGTGGGTGGCTTTATCTTTGTGACCTCTACAGAAAAGAAAAAAAAAACCACAAGTACTATCAGATCAGCGCCTTAGCACTTAAATAACATTATGGATACCATATACAAAATAATATAAAACTATTTAACTATAATTTACACAAAAAATCAAATAAAAAACCCATTAACTTTAAATTTAAAACGCTAGAATTCAATCTCACTGTGTAGTGCATGTGAAGAACATCTCCTTTCCTTGATTTTGTCTTGCATTTCTCAGGATCAACTCTTTTCTTAATGCCAATCTGTAATTTCTTTTCTTTGCCAGTGTCTGCCTCTGCCGCTAATATGACCATCAGCTGCACACACAAAAATGACAAGCCCGAGATTTGCATAGTTAAGTTTCAGACGTGCGTGGCCCTAGGCAAGTACTAGAAAATGTGTTTCTGGGCTATCCTTGCCGTACAGACAAGACAAGTGTATTTAAATAATCTGTGTTCGTTGCAGTCAGCGATTGGTTATTTCAGTACTTGTGGTTGTAGCCTGGTGGTTGACGGGGACCTGGTGGCTGTGGGACTCTCCCCTTGTTTGTGGGGAGGTAACTGCCTGGTCACAACTCACACCTACAGTACAGTAGGCGTCGCTTCGGAGACAATTGTTATTTTGAAACAAAAGGAAAAACATCAATACTAAAATAGTTTATAAATGTATGGAATTTAAGACCTTTAAATTGATTATTATAACATGCCCCACGTGTAAAAATTTAATAAATTTAATAAGTATCAGACGCTAATATATGTCTATTAAAACGTATAAGTTAAGACAATTGTGCTTTTTTTTTCTAAAATTCCGTATTTATGCAATGTTAATTATTTACGTTGATAAATGTTAAATAATCAAAACAAACATCTAAGAATCATCGTCTACTTTTATTAAATGTGTGTATACGAGGATGAAAAATATTAACTTTAAATTAAAATTTACAATTTGCGTCCCTTTTTGAAAATTTGCTGCTGAAGAACGAAAAACGGAAGTTGAAACGGAACTATAGTATGCGCCAGAAACAAACCCTAAACTATTAGAAGGGAATTTTAAATTTGTTACGTTTTCCATCTTAGAAAATCTTTGTCATCATCACAGGACGCAAAAATGTAAGTTGTTTTAATATTGTAATTTCAATTATTGCATTGTTAGATACTCGTTTTGGTCGGTAAGAATGCAAAATAATCTTAATTTACCTTCGTCGAATTAACGTCGGGTAACAATATACCGGTGGCCGGTAATACAAAGAGTGGTTATTTTGTTTTGTCTGTGTCTTTTGAACTACGATTGCATTTTAAAATAATTTTATCAGTACTGACGTTCTTGAATTGACAAACTTTGTGTAATTTATTCTAACTCAAGCCTACGCACTGTTTTGTTACGTTGTAAACAAACGAAATTACTAAGTTACTAAACTTAGTAAAAATGCTCAAAATTGTGTTTACAAGAAAAATAGTGGTTCGAATCTAAAGTAAAGAAAAAGAAAGAAAAAAACAATGAATGTTTAAAGTCAGCTGGGGGGGGGGGGGGGGGGGGGGGGGGGGAGGGGGGAGTGAAAGAACGAACCATCCATCACTGTCACAGATCATCACTGATGACACTGACCCCATCTCATGTTAGCTGCAGAGAATCCTCATGTTGAATTGAATATTTAGCAGCAGCAATAGCTTCAGCTCAACTGTAGATGAGTGAGAAAATTAAAACGGTAAACAGTACATTTATCATCAACCATCCACAGAAGCAACTGGATTAAAGAACTCACTTAAACTAGAAAACCTCGAAGCAACTCAACACACAAAACCCTTTTAGCGCGGCAAGTTTTTCAGATGTCTAACCAAAAACACGGAGCATTTTTGCAGTAAATTTGGTTATAACTTTATTTTATTTTTTTGACACATTTCAGTTATTCTGACTCCATGAAATAATATATTTATTTGAAGGATATAGATTGAATGATTTTCACAATATCGTTAAAATTAATTGATGTATATGCAAATTATCTCATTTGTATATCTAAAAATTGAAAATTAGAATGTGAATTTTCAACTTCAATGCAGGAAACATATAACTAAAAACAAAAATAAAATATATTTCTTTTTGGAAATCTTTTTATTGATCTTTGGCCTTTTTACAAATGTTGTAAGTAATTCAATAGTCAAAAACAGGTATATATATGAAACAGCAATAATATCTTTAGGTGACATGTGTTTTTGACCATCAGTCAGCACAAGAAATGGAGGTGCCGGAGTACTGTCAACATCTTCGGGTGCATATACCCTGAGCCATGGTTGGGCTGTGGTCTGAACACAATAGCGTCCCCATCTGAATCCCCACTATTACTAACAACACTAGATCCTGCATCAGTATCAATAGAATTAGTGTCATCACTTGATTCAAATGTTTTATCACCATCAAGTTTAGGGGCAGAAACATTAGTCTGCCCCTAACTTGATGGTGATAAAACATTTGAACTGAGATAAGAACTAGAATAGGACAGGCAAAAACTGCATTTTATAAAATGAAAAACATCTTGTGCAATATATCCTTGTCATTGAGAGTTAGAAAAAGAATTCTTGCTTGCTACATACATCCACTTTTAACATATGGCTGTGAATCCTGAACAATCGGTAGGCAAGGCCAAACAATTTCTAGAGGCCTCAGAGATGTGGTTTTACAGAATAATGCTTAGAATACCTTGGACAGCCAAAAAGAGCAACCAAGAGGTTTTGAAAGAGGTGGGAGCCCGAAGACAACTTATCACAGACATCAGAAGGAGACAGTCATCATTTTTCGGTCATGTTATGAGAAGAGGGAAAATAGAACATGTTGTGACCACTGGAAAGATCTGTGGAAGAAGGGATAGAGGAAGACAACGAGAGAAGATGCTTGACAGTCTTATGGCATGGAGGTGTGTCGGCACACGAACTGATACATGCTGCAGGAGATCGCAGATTATGTAGAGGCATGATCGTCCACGCCAGTCGGCAAGGCACCTGATGATGATATTAGAGCTGCTTCAGTAACAGAAGTGTTTGCTATCTTCTGAATAATGGTCCCAAATTATTGAGGTCGAAAATATACCCTAACAGGGCCTCAGTCACATGTAAATTTCGGACTTCCGGCAACTTAACTTACGCACTTCTGGTGACTACCGCCACTGCCGAGAGTATCTCCCACGCCACTTTGCGCTGCGTGTATTGGGGCTAAACTAGATGGCTGGGGCTCTAGAGCAGCATCTCCTGCAGCTTCCTTTTTTTTTTTATTTGCTTGTGAGTCCCAGCCATCTAGAAGCCCCAATCTCTGCCGCACGTAGCGGTGTGGGAGATATTCTCGGCTGTGGCAGAAGTCCACAATTTACATGTGACTTGGAGCCATGTTAATGATTTTTTTGGCCTTGAAAATTTAGGGTCGTTATTGGAAATATAGCCGAAGTGTTGAATTTATTCCCATTTGTGATTTTTTTGTGTTGGATATTCTTTTAGAAATGAAGGTGTTAAGCAGCTCATGCAACACAAGAATAAATGTGACCTTCCAGTGCTTGTAGGTTTTCTTTCATCCAGATAAAAAATATACCATTATTGCGTGGTTTCCGTGGCCCCATTGTGGGGGAAAACAAGAATAAACCCACTGCCTCCCCAACAAGCATGTCGAAATGTTCACTAACTGAGGACTTCCTTCGAAGGCTGTATCTGCCCGAGCCGCATAGAGCAATAACAGGACATAAATAAGCCAATAAAAGGGATGTACACGCAGAACTCAGATCTTGGCACAAATGGACAAACAGCCAGGACTTTCCACCAGAGCGCTTACAGCCAGTGAACAAAGAAGAAGAAACTCCACTATGTCTGTCTGAACAACTGCACCGATATATTTATTATAGTCAATAACAGTCACCTTTTTCTATGATGCACCATTCTGCTTTGTTCTTTGGTGGTATTAGAAATGAATAGTTTTTCTGGGACTTCTTCCCTGTGAATGCTATTGTCTGTGTTTCACCTTGCCTGTGTGTAGCAATTTCCCCAGTTTGAATTTTGACTTTCAAGCCTTTTGGAAGCTCTTTTTTTTTATTTTGACAGATAGTTCAGGTGAAATTTGTGTGGTGCACAAGTGGCATGATTTGTAAAAGTGTCCACCAACAAATAGTATCCTGTCCTCAAATATAAGCACAGTCTAAGTAATTTCATCACAACTGTGGTCATTGTTTGCTTCTTGACCAGCAATATTGTATCTTATTCTCTTGTGGGTGAAAAATACAAGTTGATAGGCTGAAAGAGAATCACTATTACTATGCATGTTTTATTCCCCATTTATGATGGTGTTTGTTTGGTCTTTTGGGGGGGGGGGGGGTCCTCTGTTAGGCTTTCACCTATACATATCTCTCTTTGTGGTTTATAATGATGTCTAAATCATTACTTGTATTTCGAACTAGTGGATCAAACCATGCACAAGGGTCATAGCCATTTTGTTCAGGCCTGGGAAAGTGCTGTCAACCATTTCCAGATCTCTAGACATGAGGAAACTATGGTGTTCAGTTTGAGCTAGATGTACTCCAGTAGGACTTCATTGTTATTGTACAGATCAAGCCCGTATTTAATATAAATGAAAAAAATAATCCACACATTGTAACAGGCACCTATTTCTATGACCTAGGAACCTTCTCTTGAGCTGAGTGTCCCTTAGAAAGTTGACAACATAAGTGGCTGGTGTGAACACTAGCGAACAAATCTCAAGGCTTGAATTATTGTGCTGACCGATCAGCCCAGTGGTCGTTTTTGGTTGATATATTGGCACTGTCATTTCCAAAGGGTTAATGGGAGGCTTTAGTGCAGAAAATGATCCCTGCTTTGGCTATCACAAGTTGTTGAGAGGCACTGTCGCCTACACCTCAAGGCACTTGATAGTCATGAAGCTTGTGCAGTGGCAAGTCAACAAAAAGAACAAACTAGGACTTACAGTTTGTGTGCTGGCCTATCCGAGTGTCTTTATGATCTTTTAGATTAAGGGAATCATTTATATATGCTTATTGATACTCACTTGTTGTTTGTAGTTTGTGTCTGAATCACAGTTGGTAACTAACTACCATACAAAGGAAATCCAATGTCTTCTTGTATGGGAGACATGATTTCTCTTATCGGCCATTGTGGGTTAACTCAGTTTAAGCCAGGAAGACATTTATGAATAAGTGCTGCCGGAGTGTATAATGCTAGATTAAACTTGTGTAAAATTCCCTGAATTTGGGATTGTGCGTCCAGCAAAAATATATGAGAAGAATATTACACTGTCGACACAAACGTGTTACTCTCAGTCAGTATTTACACATTATGGCATTTGCTGCTGGAGACATCATCATTAG